CGACGTTGGGGAAGTAAAACTATTTTTTTACTCCTCTAACGTTGGATATCGGATCGGTTAGAAATGCCCTTAGAGCATCTCCAGCCGTTGAGCCCCCAGGAGGCATTTTTGTTGGCCGCTTGGGGGGCTGATGGCGGAGATTTTGGCCTAGGGGTGAAAAAGTTTCCAACCATGTACACCCCCAAGCCGTGCCCAGGCCGCGCCCGCCCCAGGCCATGACCGGCCCGGCCTTGTTGTCGAGCTCGAGCAGAGCAGCATGAGCCCCGAGCTCCACCGGTGCCGTCCTCGACCGGGGCTTCCGCCGCCTGCTGGTGCAGCGCACCACTGCCACCTCCGGCTACGACTCGTCCCTGCTCTGCGGTGTATCCTACAAGGTCGAGGACAGGGACGCCGACCGCCCCGCACGCGTCGTCCAGCCCGTGCCCCCCCAACGGGCCCTCCGTGCTTCGCTTCAACGAGAGCCTCGCCTAGTGACAAGCATTAAGCATAGCAAAGTCATAGTAACATCAATCTCAGAACATAGTGGATGCTAGGGATCAAAACCTAACAAAACTAAGTCGATTACATGATAGATCCCATCCAACCCATCACCGTCCAGCAAGCCTACGATGGAATTACTCACGCACGGCGGTGAGCATTATGAAATTGGTGATGGAGGATGGTTGATGATGACGATGGTGACAGATTCCCCTCTCCGGAGCCCCGAACGGACTCCAAATCAGCCCCCTGAGAGGTTTTAGGGCTTGGCGGCGGCTCCGTATCGTAAAACGTGATGATTTCTTCTCTCTGATTTTTTCTCTCCAAAACCAAATATATAGAGTTGGAGTCGAGGTCAGAGGAGCTCCAGGGGGCCCACGAGGTACGGGGGGCGCGCCCCCACCCTCGTGGACAGGTGGTGGACCCCCTGGCCTTCATCTTTTGCAAGGATTTTTTATATTTTCCGAAAAGATGTTCCGTGAAGTTTCAGGTCATTCTGAGAATTTTTGTTTCTGCACATAAATAACACCATGGTAATTCTGCTGAAAACAGCGTCAGTCCGGGTTAGTTCCATTCAAATCATGCAAGTTAGAGTCGGGCAAAAGTGTTTGGAAAAGTATATACGTCGGAGACGTATCACCGACCGCCCCGCACGCGTCATCCAACCCGTGCCCTCGGACGGGCCCTCCGTGCTTCGCTTCAACTAGAGCCTCGCCTTCGAGTCCGTCGCCTCCCGCGACGGCCTCGTCGTGCTCCGCCGGCGCCCCTGCCCGCTCTTTGGGCAGTCCATCAAGGAGGGGCGAGTCCAGAGTAGCCGGTCTTCAACGTGCCGGGGGGATGCAGGGCGTGGCGGAGCAAGGTGGTGGTGGCGACGCAGCAGCAGAACGAGGCAGGAGGGGAGTGCCAGTGGTAGCGGGGGGAGGGGCGGCTCAGTCAGAGGACGCGAGGAGCGGCGGGGTGGGGCTGACGCGCGGCAGGCGGGCCGATCGGCAGTGGCGTGAGGCGCGGGCGGCAGATGGGCGCGGGGTTCGGGGAGGGGGCCGGCGGCGGGCGGGGGTGGGGGAGGACGAGGGGCAGAGGCGGGCGTGGGCGATGGAGCATCAGAAATTTTACTGGAGCCCTTTTCATGGAGTATATTTAGGAAAATATGAGGCGCCAGAGTATAATTTTTACTCCCTTACGGCGGATTAGGGATCAACATTGGAGAAGTAAAACTATTTTTTACTCCTCTAACGCTGGATATCGGATCAGTTAGAAATGCCCTTAGAGCATCTCCAGCCGTTGAGCCCCCAGGAGGCATTTTTTTCGCCGCTTGGGGGGCTGCCGGCGGAAATTTTGGCCTGGTGGTGAAAAAGTTTCCAGCCGTGTCCACCCCCAAGCCGTGCCCAGGCCACGACCAGCCCGGCCTCGCCGTCGAGCTCGAGCAGAGCAGCATGAGCCCCGAGCTCCACCGGCGCTGTCCTCGACCGGGGCTTCCGCCGCCTGCTGGTGCAGCGCACCACTGCCACCTCCAGCTACGGCCCGTCCCTACTCCGCAGCATCTCCTACAAGGTCGAGGACAGCGACGCCGACCGCCCCGCACGCGTCGTCCAGCCCGTGCCCCCCCTCCCGACGGCCCCTCTGTGCTTCGCTTCAACGAGAGCCTCGCCTTCGAGCTCGTCACCTCCCGCGATGACCTCGTCGTGCTCCGCCGGCGCCCCCGCCCGCTCTTCGGGTAGTCCATCAAGGAGGGGCAAGTACAGGGTAGCCGGTCTTCAGCGTGCCAGGAGGGAGGGATGCATGGTGTGGCGGAGCAAGGTGGCGGTGGCGGCGCAACAGCAGAACGAGACAGGAGGGGAGCGCTAGTGGTAGCGGGCGGAGGGGTGGCTCAGTCAGAGGGCGCGAGGAGCGGCATTGTGGGGCTCACGCGCAGTAGGCGGGCCGAGCGGCAGTGGCGCGTGGTGTTCGGGCATGCTCAGGTCGCGGACGGGGCGTCGTAGCGAGCGACGACGGGGCGGGGCGGCGAGTTCGGTGGGTCGGGGCGGAGGAGGCGGGGCTGGGCGAGCTCGGCCAGAGACGAGGAGCAGGAGATGCGGGGAGGGAAAGATTCGTGAGACTAACTGGTGGGGTTTTGCCATGCAAAAATTAACGCCGGCGGTCTCAAGTGCTCCCCGATGGGCTGGGTTTCGCCTGAGGTCGCCGGGGCTATTTTTTTTTCAAATCCAGCGTAAAACAACATCTTGAGGGTGTGGCTGGATTTTTTTTTTGCGTCGATGCTAAAAAAGGTGCTTGGGAGACGTTTTGGGGGGCTTAGTGGAGATGCTCTTATACACTTGCTGCTGGAGTTGTTCTTACAAAGTAAACCCTGAGGTTGTGCCCTCAGCTGGTGTCCATAGACGTGAACCATGTGTAGGCTGTTCCCGTTTTGTCGCATTGCCGGGGTGATGGTGAAAGAAAACTATTGGAATGCTAATGAAGATTGCAAATACATTCAGGAATTCAGCCATGATAGAAACGAGTCCAACAATGTGAAACATGCTATCATACTGATCTGGCAATTTCAAAAAAAAAAAAACCATACTGATCTGGCGTGGAAACCGGTGTTTTTTCTTCATCCACATGATACATTTGCGGCGTCACGTCAAGCTTGCCAAGCACGGCCCTTTTCCTTGAAAAAAAAAACAAGCCTGGTGCATGCCACCGATAATGGCACCGCTGCCACGTACGTGTGTGAAAATCACCTCCGAAACTAACAAACCCTCCACATTTCCAACTAGACGGCCGCGCGCACGCGCATGCGGCGTCTCTCGCTCACTCATCACGTAGCATAGTCAACAACGAGCGACGTCGGCCAATGGATGGGATCTGTTTCGTCAAGGCGGGCCACATGGTGGTGGTGGGCGAGAATTCCGTGCCACCGCCCCGGCCGCCCGGCGCTCGCGCCCTGTCCGCGCGGCGCCACGGCTGGAAATCAGCGAACCGCCGGCCGTGCGCGCGGGACGCCTCGGACGGTTGCGTGCGGCCAGCGACGATGGCCCCGTACGCGCGGCCGGCCACTGTTGGCGTTTCCTTCCTCCAATTTACTAGTCTCCCGCCCGGGCCCGGCTGTTGGGCGCACGATGCATTGCAACAGCGCTTCGTCGCCCGGTCTTCGATGGAAAGGAGGACCAGATCAATAATCAACGTTGCTGTTCTCCTACAGGCGCCGTTGCTTTTTGTATCCGGACGGTAAGGTTCCGAATCCGAAGGATGCTGCCACTACAATTTCTCCGCAGGCTGCAGCTGCCACTTGTAGGAGATCTTTTATAGGATTTGAATGTGGCAGTCGGTTGCCTTTTAGCTGCATGCATCTGTAGACGTCGCCCGGATCGTCTTGGTCCAAATGACATCTACAAGACCGACGGAGGTAAAACCGAGACAACTAAAACAGGGAACCGATGCTTTTTGGTTGACCGACTCTCTCCTGAGAGCAATCCAAGCAGTAAAATCCAATGGCCATTTGCACTGCACGACCGACATGCATGTCCGTGCCCGCGTGTAGTGTACCAACCAACCAAAGCAGTACAATTGCATGAAGTAATAAAACTTTGGTGGAGCAATCAAACCGTGTTTGTTGGTTTAGATGTCGCCCTTGTCCTAGCCGCGTGCATCGATCGCTAGCTGCACCAGCGAACACGTCAAAGATTTGGAGGCCATGACAAGTCTACTCTGGACTGGAGGCCAGGAAAAAGGATGGCTGGAAGCGTCATGTCACGACTCCACCCCCATGCATCTCCCTCATCCACACCTGCCCGTCTTTCCATCCATCTTTCTCTCTTTTACCAAATGTCACGGGCAAAAGCGCTGAGTGAGAGACCAACCACTCCCTCTGCAGCAGCCCCCTCTCTTATCTGCACAGGAGCCTGCTTAATCCGCGATCCACGACATGACATGCATCATCCTAGCACAAATATTTAACTATTGCACCAATCACATCTTGGATCTTAATAAACTTAATAATAAGAACCACTAGGTCGAGGAACAAGATGTACGTACTCGGTTTAAAAAGGAATTAATGTTGGCTTGAAAAAACAGCGATAATCGTATATATAGTCAAAGGAAGGTGCAACGTTGTTGGCCATGGCCGCCATTTTGTCAACGCCGGGCCTGCATTTTCTGCTCACACCAAATCGACGATGCAGCAAAGTCATTACCAGACGTCTCTATAGAGAGAAAGATGATTTGCATTGCAGCGGTATATATCATATCACATATCAATCATCCTTTAGCTTTATCCAAAGGAAAAAAGAGGCTGCGTTCGCAAAGGAAGGAAAGTTGGGAAGCATCAACAACTCTGCCGGCTCCAAAGTTCAAACCAAAGGTAATAAGAAACGAAGGGACCTCTCCAAGAATAGTTGTTACACGCCAACCTACCCCCATACATTACATACTACGTAAACATTAATCGTCTACGATTAACCAACCCATATGTCATCATCATACACGTATCTATGAGCTATTTCTACTATATCTCTATCGGCGGCCAGCGCACCGTCTCCTTTGCTTCACGGCTTCTCCAGCTGGCTGTCGAGGCCGACGGCGTTGTGCTTCCGCGACGGCCCCGACGGCGTCACCGAGCCCCTCGGCAGGAACCCGAAGAAATGGTTGGCCGCCCCTCGCTCCAGCGGCCGGCCCCTGAAGGGCTGCATGCCTCTCGAGGCCTCGCAGCTGGAGCTCGACGCCATGGCGAGGAGGATGAGGAGGAGCAGGGGCAGGACGTACCACCGGAGCTGCGGCGGTAGAAGAGTCGTCCGCCTGCCGCTCGTTCGCCCCATGTAGGTACGTAGGGTACGGAGCGATGCACGGAAGGAGAAGGTGGTCGATGAGGAGGGGAGCGTTGGTGGCGCCAGCCGCCAGGTGTGGAGGTTTGTGGTTTGAGGAAGATGTACGTGATGACTGGTGAAGGTTTCGGAGAGTGCAAATGGCGGGGGGCAGGCGTGGAGGAGGGAGGCGATGCTGGTAGACAGGCGCTTGGAGAGAATGTGCGCGTGGACAGTGAGGAGTCGTCAAATTTATATAGGAGCTTTCCTTTCCTCCCTAGCTTGGACTTGTTCACAAGCAAGGGGGAGAGAAAGATATGCAATCTACATGCATGATGTCATTTTCTGGTTACCGTGTGTTTGCAATAAATCCCTGGCTGCTTTAATAGTGCCTCATATATAATTATATAGCACACTGTGAGTCTGTGACATGACAATTTACGTACCGATCGACTAGTATCACGCTGAGCAATGAGAGGGGAAAAGCCTTGTCAGCCTGCAAGTAAAGCCTATTTTCTGCATAGTCGGATCAGCTAGTAATTCACAGTTTGCAAGACTGAGAAACTCGGGGTTGTCTACACGCGAGGATAATTTTGTGCCTGCGCCGGCCCGGTGCGCTCCTATAGTCTACGAGCAAATCGTTCGAGTTGGTGCAGAGGGGATGGGAATTAATGAATGTGCTCATCTACCTCTAGCGCCATGGCCTAGGATAGGATACATTTTTGAAACTTGGATCATAGGCAGAGAGCGCGACGATGGACATGGACGGTGTGGGGGGTGCATGGTGGGGTTGAGCGTGTTGGAGAGGAGAGGACAGCATTGATAAGCTGGAGATGGCACTCCTGTCTGTGCACCAAGAAAAGGAAGTGGAAGTGAGAGATATGCAAAAGAAAAGGACAAGGCAGGGAGCAAGAAGGTTCATGGCCATAAGGACGAAAGGAGGGCTCTGTCTCCTCCCCGAGTAGGTGAACGAGAGCTCTGCATTCGCCACTCCGAATTCAATGGCCGGCTTGACCGACTCACTTGTTGGGCATTGCATGCATGCATGCAGTATGCAGAGAGCGAAAGAGATGTGCCCTGGAATGGTCAGTGTGGGTAAGGGCACAACCCGGAAGGCCCTGTTTGGTTCATAAGTACTAAAATTTTTTCTGGTCCCAACTAAAAAGTCTCTAGTCCCTAAAAAGTCTTTTCCTATTTGTTTCTAGAGACTAAAAAGTCATTAGTCCCTTTCTAGAGGTTATTAAATGACCATGTTGCCCCTAGTATATAGAAAAATAACAATTAAACAACACCATGGGATGACGGGCCATTGAATGCATGGAGGGGCATTGTTGGAAAAGTCCCAAAAAAGACTCTCCTTGAGAGTCTTCTTCATTTAGTCCCAAATGCCTAGTTTAGTCCCTAAAAAGTCCCTTCCGTTTGGTAAAAAAGTCTCTAAGAGGGACTTTTTCTAGTCCCTACACAAAAAGTCCCTGGAAACAAACACCCCCTAAATTTCCTCCCGCATCCGTGTACCACAGACGAAAGTCCACGGACACTGATGCGGGAGGACGCTATCCAACCATACCTGTATACTACATTCGTCACGGTTTAGAAGGCGCGCTTGGAAATTCTCTGGGACCTAGGTGGTTATCTATTGGTTATGAGACGGGCTAAAAAATAGCATTCACACTACGCATGCATATAGAAATAGTATATCGGAGTACTAATTAGCTACTAGAAATAAATGCAATGCGCCCTAAACCTTGTCTATTGTGGAAACGCACGCAAATTTAACTGTGCCTTCTAAACCGTGACGGAGGGAGTACATTTTTACAACAATTTAAACTAACCGAACGAAATTTAATTAAATTGGGAGAAGCATAATTTGTACATAAAATTAGGCGATATTTCGGCCGGTAAACTAAAAACCCTAAACTGGCTATACTTGACAGTAACCTCGTAGGCCATGTCGGGCTGGCCGGCGGCTCCTCTTCCGTCATCGACGCCTGATCAGGCGTCGTCATCGTCGTCGGGCTTCGGGCGACGAAAGGTGGTGGCGTCGCGGCAGGGCTTCCTGACAGCCGCCTGATGCTCATGGATGACCTCTCCGCTTCCTCCTGCATCATGCACAGTGCGGTCGCGATCACCGAGGACGTGGGCTAGGTGAGAGGGCGGCGGTCCTTGGAGAGGTGTCGTTGGCGGCGTCAATCTCGGCGAGGGACCATTCCTCGTCGTACCTGGCCATCTCCCCGTCGAGGCGGAAGAGACAGCGCTTGAACACCTCTGACGTCGTCACCGAGCGGTCCAGGGCCCAAGCATACGCCAGGTCCGGGTCCGCCGCGATGTTTTGGCAGCCGGGGAGGGGGGGGGGGACGTCCGAGTCCGCCAACTTGGACCCGCGCGCGGCTGTCCCGCCAGCGCTGCTCCCGGTCAGCGTACTCCTGCACCATCGTGGCGCTCCGGGAGGACGAACGGTTGCTGCCGCTCCTGCCACTTCCGAGGTAGTGTAGAAGGCGACCGCGCACCTTGGGCAGGGGTGGCAGCGTGCGGCGCTCCTCCTTGACGACGCACCGGGGCGGTGGCGAGGGCCGCTCTTCCTTCACGCGGTGTCGGATTTGGACGCCACGGCTGCGTGGCGAAGAGCATGGAGGGGATGCCGGCTCTGACTTCACGGCCGGTGGCGGAGTTGGGTCGTTGATGTAGACGACGAAGCGACGAAGCATTAGCTGCATATGCTCCTCAAACTTGGCGTCGATGGTGGCGTAGACCTGGCCCAGCGTCCGCGCCGGCGGTGGCTGCTGGTCCTCCTCGTCGCCGGAGTAGATGACAATCTTCGCCCGTATCGAGTCGTCGCCAGCCGATGAGGATGACGGCCCTGGAGTTCGAGGGCGGTGTCGCCACGATCCGCTGGATCCCGCCCTGGAACGCCTGCCGACGCTGATGCCCAGGACTTGTCCATCGCCGGAGATGTGGTGGGAGATGGGCGGGGAGAGGAGGACGAGGACGAGGAGGATGCGATGTGGATGGTGTCGGAGCGCGACTTAAATAGTTACGGCCAGGCCATGCGAAGGTCCCGTCAGCCGCTTCAATGCGGCGCAGCAGCCGTAGTTGGTTCCTCGGGAACCTGCGTCCACATTGAAGCGGCGGCTGCCGAGAGGTCGCGTCGATTAACGCCCCCTCCCTCCATCTGATCACATCGTGGCATCAATGCCGGCCTCCGCATGCTCTGGGCCAGCATGAATGTGGTGTGGTAAGCGGCGCGTGCATCAGAAGAAAAGTGCGGGAGGGCGGGTGAGGGATCTTTAGTGGGTCAGGGTATTGAATTCATGCTCCAGCCAAATTATCCAAAAGTCCGAACTGATGGAGGGAGGCGGGCAATATGTTTGAACACTCCCCCTCACGTCTAGGCTATTTTAGTCCTTAGACGTGGGATCGATGTAGGTCGCAGAATCGTTTATTTAATACTGCGTTGGCAGGGTCTTGAACTCAAGACCTCTTGGCTCTGATACCATGTAAGTTCGGTTGGAAGCATTGAAACCTTTGTCTCGGGCTACATGTGTATATATATTGGCAATGCCTTGGAGTACAAGGAGAGATCAAGAGATCGAGACGATCCCAAGTTGGTTCGGTACAGGAGGTAACTTGGGGAGGGAAGAAAGGAGATAGAGATAGAGATAGATTACAATTTGAATGAACCTACCCTATACATATTTTAACACTTCCCCTCAATCTAAACCTCATGAACTTCGACCAAGGTTGAGATTGTACTTGAACTCATCTAACCTCCTCATAGTGAGAGGCTTTGTGAATCCATCAGCAAGTTGATCTCCAGTAGGAATGAACTGAATTTCGAGGAGCTTTCTAGCTACTCTTTCTCTGACAAAGTGGAAATCAACTTCAATATGCTTTGTGCGTGCATGAAAAACAGGATTGGCTGACAGATAGGTTGCACCAATATTATCACACCATAATCTAGCTGCTTTTGGAGTCTTAATTCCAAGTTCATAAAGTAGTGTATGTATCCACATTACTTCAGCTGTGGCATTTGCCAAAGCTTTGTATTCAGCCTCAGTACTTGATCTAGAGACTGTAGCCTGCTTTCTTGCACTCCATGAAACAAGATTGGATCCCAGAAATACAGCAAATCCACCAGTTGACCTTCTATTATCAATACATCCTGCCCAGTCTGCATTAGAGTAGGCAGTAACAAGCATAGAAGAAGACTTGGTAATTTGAAGTCCAAGTCCCTCTGAAAACTTAAGGTACCTCAAAATCCTCTTAACTGCAGTCCAATGAGTAGTGCTAGGAGCATGTAAATACTGACATACCTTGTTGACAGCATAAGAAATGCCAGGGCGTGTAAGTGTCAGATATTGCAATGCACCCACAACACTCCTGTAATTTGTTGCATCTTCTGACCCAAGTGGCTCTCCACTTTCAACAGAAAGTTTTTCAGAAGTTGAGATAGGTGTACTCACAGGTTTACATTTTTCCAAACCTACTCTCCTGAGTATGTCAGCTGTGTATTTTTCCTGTGTCAGAAGTATACCATCTCTTATCTGTTTGACCTCAATACCAAGAAAATAATGAAGATCTCCCAAGTCTTTGAGAGCAAATTCCAACTTAAGATCCTTAAGTAAGCAAGTGGTGGCACTTGAACTTGAGCTAGCAACAATAATATCATCAACATAAACTAGCACAAAAATAGTGATATTTCCTTTATTGTAAAAGAACAAGGATGTGTCTGCCTTGGATGGTACAAATCCAAGTTGTTGTAGTTGCATGCTCAATCGTGAATACCAAGCTCTTGGCGCCTGTTTTAAACCATATAGAGCTTTATCCAATTTACAAACATGATGTGGTGTACCTTTGTTTTCATAACCTGGTGGCTGCCGCATGAACACCTCTTCCTCAAGAACACCATGAAGAAACGCGTTCTGAACATCTAGCTGTCTTAAGCTCCAAACTCTGGAAACAACAATAGACAAAACAAGTCGAATAGTGGCTGATTTAACAACTGGGCTAAAGGTATC